ACCCTCTGGCCGTTAGCTTAATGCGAAGCTGGATGCAGGTGCCACGTACCTTTTGGTACGATTTAGCCCTAGCATGCATAAATACGGCAGGACTAGGAACCTGGATCGGCCAGGAGAATCTGGGTACGGCCACATAGAAATCTGGTGTGCCCTTGGAAATGCTAATGATGCTCATGGACGATGCAATCCTTTAATCTAGTCGGACAAGCTTGGCGGATACTTGTTTTTCCAAGCAGTGCCACTGATAAACAAGTTTTTAACCCAAACTTCGTGCACCTTCGGCGCTGGAAAATTATTGGCGATCTGCCGTGTTGCCTGTTGGAAAGGTTTGATGGTGCCCGTAGACAGGGACGTCACTTTATACACCTTTGGAGGCTCCCCATATGCTTGTCATGGTCTCCAAGGCCCCTTTTAGAGCCCTCCCGCTAATGTCTTAGGGCAAAATAATGAAATATTGGGGCAAGGAAGCGAAAAAAGACATACCCGTACAGTTTCGTACAGGTACCTTCGCACATCACTAGCACTATCACGGTCAGTTTGTGCCAAGTGCTTGTTATGTTTTTTCCTGTAGCCCTTTAACTCATAAATGGTAGACGGCTTCCAAGGCAAATGGTGGGTCGGCATTTCACTTAATATCATTTAACCGCGTGAACAGCTCAAATGCTTTTTGCCCCAATGTTCGAAATAGGAATGACTGAAAAGCGAAGCATAGTGACAAAATGTGTTTTTAACGACATGCCGAAATGCCAATAATTGGAAATGCTAATTACCCAAATGGTGAATACTAATATGCCGAAACAGGATTTAGGTGATTGGCAACGTTCGGCAAGCTCCTTACAGTTGCAGGAGCAAAAAACTTGGCAAGCAAAACACCATGTTGCGAACAATAACCTGGGGTACTCTATGCCTGGTTGCTGGGCAAATGCTGGGCAATGCAATCGTCAGATAAGTCTGCCCACCTGACATACTTTCTTATGTTGTCATTCGTAACGTGGAGTTGCTGTCATGTCCTTAAATTTCCAGTTTAGAAATCTCCAAGTTTTGCTCAACTTTTCATCATCATGCGGCTTCGGACCAGACTGGTGAAAAGTGATAATGTAAAAAAGGCATAGATCATTCAAGATATCGCACGTGAACAAATGTACCAAGAACATGTACCAATACCAAGGTAGGGTTTAACACGAGTGCACCGGAGGGTCTTCCTAACGTATGTACCTTTTCACTTTGCCCGGCGTGGAACTTAATCTGTAGCATGGCAGCCTTTGCGCACCCATCATGCGTTGCCACCTTACGGTTGGTCGTCTATACTGACCAAGTTTGGACTGACTTAGCTATAGGGCCTTTCACCCTGCATAGGTATACAGGAAAAATTTCGGCCGTGCTTGTATTTATCATGCTTGCGCGTTATTTGAGGACATGCAGCACTAGACTCGTATAACAATGTCCGATTTCACATCAGGAGGGTCAGGCTGGTTCCAGACGTCTTCTTTTGTCATTCAGACTATTATAACAAGTTCCGATCTCCTATCAGGAGAGTTGGACTGGTTTCAGACGTCTTTTTTCACTCTCAAAGCGGAATTCACCGAATGTGCTATCACAACTGGCAGCGAACCAGCAATGTGGCTTCCACAGCCCAACTTGAGCGCACTGAAGTATAGGCAGAAGCATATGTCATTTTCACCAGTGTTCTAAAACTCCAAAACCAAAACAAACAACAGTTTGCACCACTTACTTTCACATGGACACCAGCGGTGCTGCTGCCATCACCAGCTTTCGCCATGCCTGTTCCTCCAGCTATCGACGTACCTGTCGAGAAGGCTATTCAGTTGCAATAACGCAACATGCCTAGATATGGACTCCTTCTACCACTGGACACAAACTATTGTCAAATCTATCTTTTTGGGTTGCGGACCACGCTAAACATTAAACGAGGCGCATTTGGTCTATCAGATTAGGCCGTTTTGTTTCTACACGTTGCTGTGGATTACAACACATGTTAAGCCGCTGACACAAATATAGCTTCACATTGCCTTTTAATGGGCATGCAAATACAAGCGTAATGTACTGCAATGTAATGTAAGACAATGTGATGGGCAAGTGTAGTTGCAAACTGCAATGATTTGCTTCCTACGTAGCAAGCTTATTTTCGGATTAACCAAAACTCAGCAACATTTCGTAGACACTTGACATGGACCCGCAAAGCTAGACATGGCGCTGGTCTTTGTCCAACGATGAGTGTTCAACAGATCGCTCTATCGTAAGTTGTTCAGTGCATTAGCGAGGAAC